GAAGTAACACAGCCATATAGGACAAATATTGAGCTGCTGATGAGGAGATATGATTTAATTTTTGTCATTCTTAAATGTGTGATTTAAATCAGTAAGCTGATATTCCTTCAATTGGCATATCTCATTCAAATGTTACCAGCAAATTCAATAGCAGTGATCTGTTAATCACTCAGGATCACATATTTAAGTGAATAGAGTCGTACTCTTTCCAGCTGGCTGAGTGGTATGTAAGCTATAGAGCAACCTATGTTTTTACCAAAGACTGTATAAAATAAGGACATATCATCAGTGATGTCATACATTGGTTGCTAAAGCTGTGTTAAAAAGCCAAACACTAGCGGTCACCATATTGTTAATGCTGTGCTACTAACTATTGGTCAACCAAGCAACAGGCAAACAGGTGGAGCTGAGGCAGAGCTAAGCGTTCTGGCAAACAGTTACTATCCCTCTTTTCAATTAACCACACTTCTAATAATGAAGATTTATGATGAACATTACACATCAATACAACCAAACAAATGTAAAACATATTATACAAATGAAGAAACAGACCTTTTTTTTTTGTTGCAGGCTGTAAACATGCTTATTCCTGCTGTGAAAATTGTAATTTTACCATTGGACCTAATGGGGATTTGTTTGCTTTTGTAGTGAGCCTCATGTGGACAACTGAGGATCTGTTATTTCAACTTCCAAATTTGTTATGTTGAAACCCGGGGGTAGCTGCTTGATACTAAACAAAATGACACCTATAGATGTAGATGTTATCACAAACAGACACAGGACTTTCACACAGTAAACTTTGATTTCTGAGACAAAAAGGTCAAAGTTGAGTTAATGAGATAAGTCTCTGACATGATGATTCAGCTGCAGCAACTGGGAATCAAACCCCTCACCTTCTGGTTGAGAGATGACAGACTCTACCACTGAGCCATAGCAACCCCTTAATATAATCCAAACAAAACTCTGTTTTTTGCTTACAGTCCGTAAGCATTTTTGCTTGAGCATGTAACGTAATAGATTATGTTTTTCAATTGGTCAAGATCTTTATAGAAAAACATTCTCGGAAAGCTACGTGTTATTTTCAGTCATGGAAGAGGACATTTTTTCGCCCGAGGAATGGATCTTCTCTTTGTCTATATTTTATCCCCGCTGACCACAGATTGACCACAGACACTTTGTTCACTCTTAAGGGCAGAATCATGTCCACAGATGAAGAGTAACTAAAGAACATTACATGCCCAACATGATCACATTGGCCCCAAAAAAACTCCCCAGGGAGGGGATGGGTCAACATGCATTTCAGAAAACCCTTTAGTATTTTAGTTTTGCCACAACCACCATGACAAATGTGGTTCTGCACCACAAAAGGGGCCAGCTGAGATTTTACTGAATATTGCAGAAGTTTGATCATGGCATGATTTGAAAAAATACAATTCTTTGACTTTGGTATGTTTGTCGCACTGAAAACCATTACTGTTTCATTTGGTTAGACTTTGGGCTTTTTTTCCTGATGTTTTTAGGCAGTCAGGGTCAATCAGTTGTCTTTTCAAGTAGCAGACCTCCACGAAGTCTAACATCTGCTATGTAAATATGCCTGCCCACACAGCTCTGCCTCACATCACTCTTCAAGTTGTGGCGTCATCTTGTGCAGTCACAGAAGTCTTCTTTTAAAGTTCTAGCTTACCTTTCCTGACTGCAGCATCATCGCCGCAGCACCGGCATAGTTTTGCATCTATCAAGGTCAACCATCGGAGCTTTTACTTTATTGCTCATCTACGTGAGAGAGCCTTAGCACCTGGCATCCATTAACAGCACATATTGGATTCACACACACAGTCAAACACATTTGTGCAGTCATTGTTGTCATAGATTCCTGGCTTACACGTGGATCTTATTTATTAAGCTGGAGCCAACAGGCCTTTTCATCTTTTATCTCGGGTTTAATTTTCTGTTAGGTCTTTTTTGCAAGTGACACATTGTTTGAAACCAGTGGCGTTCCTGGAGGCAACAAGGACTTTGGCTTTGACTTTCACAAGTGAAAACAGAAACCTCTTTACACACAGCATGTAAGAAACTCGAGGAAACTTCCCTGTATTTTTTTCAACCAGGGTCGATTTTCATGATTGTTGTCGTTCTGACTATGAGTCGTCCAAACTTTTCACTCCCTTACAAAGCATAAAATATCTGTTTCAAGAAAAGAAGTGTCAAAATAATGCATATGATGAAGGAAAGCCACGTGAACCTCCTAAAGCCTTTAAAATAAACTTCTATTCCACATGAATCATTTAAAACAGACAAAAATCTGCCCTGAAGGTTAGCTAATATAGCTAAATACTTTTCATCACATGCACAAAACACTTGAATATGCCTATTATGCACATAGCTTCATATATATTCATGCATTGGACACTGTTTAATTACATGTCTCTCAGCAGAAGTAGATTTAATTGAGAGAATGTTTTATTGCGTTGGTAGCTGAAAAAGCCGATGCAGTGTCTCTTGTCCAGTGTCCTGCAGGGGTCAGATTTTGAAAACCTGCACCTGCAAAGCTCAGCACCTGAACTGACCTTCATTCACAATGATCTTTAAGTCAAACAAGAACTTGTGTTTGCTGATTAGAACTGTTATCTTACATTTTTTTCTGAACTGGTGCAGAATTCAAAGCTGGCTATCCAGTTTTAAGTATTACTTTAATCACTTTTTTTTTTTAAAGCCATCAGGCTAAGAAATGGCCTCTATGGTACTAATTTGTTTCACCAAGTACATTGTTCTGTCAAATGCAATAGATTTAGTTCAAAGTCTTCGCTTTTTAGGAGAATGAAGTTTTTAATTTATGTTCTGTCATAAACAAGAGGTTTCCATAGCCCCTTTGTTAGTGTTAGTGAAACAGTCAGAAATTGTGTTTTTATTTAAATGGTGATCAAACCCCCGAACTTCCTGTTGGGAGCCAACCAACACTACCACTGAGCCACAGCCACCCCAAGGCAGGCAGGCAGCACCTCTGCTCATTTGTCATGTCTCGCTTCATATACTTTATAAAAACATGACATGCTTCAAATCCCCTCACACAGGGAAGAAAGGAGTACCACAGCACCACGTGCTGATCCCAAACAGCCATATATAAAGACCACTGTTTTCTTAAAATAGACACCAGAGGCTCTTAAAGAGAAACCAAAGTGATTCACATGAACTTTGGAGAGGCTGCAGTTCATCTGCAGTTCATCTGCATTTCCAGTGCCCATCCTCTGATTCAGGTATCTTCTGCAAAAGCCAATACTTTAGACAAGTGTCTTACTGCCAATACACTAGAGCTCTACAACAAGCCTTTGTGCTGGCCCAGTTGTTGCTTGGCTTAACATGTCGAAGTAATTTGGTCACCCAGAGGAAGGGCCCAGTTTCCTTGATCCAAATTTAGACACTCAACTTGAGAACAAGCTAGCCAGAAGCAACCAAAAGTAATGAGATTCTCCTTGAAGAAGTGGGTAAATTCATGTAATTTAATGAATTAATTAAAGGAATGACTAAGGGTGAAAACGTGTGATGAGCACAATATAAGATGAGTAATCCAGGAGGATTGGTTAGGTATGACTGAACATGTTGACCTTCCTATTAATGCTTAAACTGAAACCAACCAAGTCCACCTTCAAATATAAACAATCCTCACATGTGTGTTTATGAGAAAAAAAGAAGAAGAATGGAGATCTCTCACTCTGACAGGAAAAGACCCAAAACCTGCTGCAGAAAACACATCCTGACAGATAAGCGCTTTCAGCAGAAAACAGTCCAATGCCACAGCTCAGAGTAGATGTCATGATGACATGAGTGGAGATAAAACCACTAAAAACAAGCCGCCTCTCACTTCCTGACCACTTCTAAAAACACTCATCAGAGTGAGGGAACAGATTGTGCCCCCCTAATGAGTAAGAACTGGGCCTAAGAGATCAGTTAAGAGACAAAGACGGTGTAGTAAAGAGTTAAGAGAAGCCAGATCCCCCAACACACGGGCCAACAAAACGTCTACTAAGATGCCAAGCCACAATAACCAGCAAAAGTGCCACCCAAACACACACACACACACATTACTTACCCGCCGGGCGATCTTATCTCCCTGCAAAACCACAATAATTTGATACTGTTCTATTCACTGTTGTTGACAGTAATAATCTTTGTTCATTTACTGAAAAACACTTCTAAGCGAGACACACATCTCAATTTAACATCTCCTTCAAACAGGAACCAAATTTCAAACACTGCTGTCCTACCTGCGAGAGGATGTTGGTGCACTGCTGCAGCAGGGAGACAGGGGGCTTTCCCAGGCTGGTGGCGAGTTGGACCCTCAGCAGCTGCTCCTTCTGAGTGAGGTTGTCCTGCAGGGCGTGAGCCAATGCCACAGCGGCACACCAGTTAGACAGAGAGTCTGCTGAGAACAGGCCTCCGCACAGCAGCTGGCCCGCTGAGATGGAGTTAGCTGGAGAAGAAAAAGGAGCATGTCAGTCAACAGGCAATGGTCAACACATGACTAAAGCTGCAGGCATCGGGGATCTGGCAGAAATAACAGTTATTCGTCAGATTATGTTAATGGAAGTTGTTCTACTTGTAGTGTAATAAAGCCGCCAAACAGAAACTCAAATACCGTTCTGATTCCTGTTCAGTTTCATTCCTAACACCCAACAAAGTCTCCTGTAATCTTAACTTAGAAGACATTGTGATATGAAGAACATTTATATCACCTTTCTGCTAAAATACAATTTCTTTAACAATATTATGATCACCAATAAACATGGCTTAAAAAACACTGAGGAGTTTACTCGAATTCTTAGAATAATTCATTTTTCAAGAATATATTTTTGTGTGCAACAAATTTACAAGATGTCTGATAAAACTCTGAGTAACTCAAACAGGGAAAAGGGCATTTCTTTATGCCTTTACCTCTTCACTATTCCAATCTGCCAATTTAATACAGTTTAAAGTAATGGTTCAAATCTGGAGTAAAAAAAAACAATCAAACAAATCTTGTTCTGAAAAGAGGCTTCATAGAAAGCTGTTCAAATCAATTGTTCAAAGTTAAAATATTCTCAAGAATGAAATCCTTGTTTGCTGTCAGGGCAAAGAATACTTCTACTCATTTGTCTACAAGCACTCCTTAAAATTATTGCAAAACAGCTAATAAAGCCAGTTGAAAGTTCTCAACTTTATTAACTGACCATCGATGGTGGAGGGCAGCAGTGTAGCCACTATCTCCCCCTGTCCTTTCTGGTTTTTGTAGAGGAAACACTGGAAACAGTAGAGCACAGCACAGCGAAGCACAAATGGCTGCCTCTCATTCACCATGGACATGAGCAGCACCACGATGGCTGGTCTGTGGAGAGATTTAGAGAGGAGACCAGAGAGGAAGTTTAGTACGATCAGCTGGAGATGAAGGAATTCTTACCTTCATTGGATTGTTCTGTGTCACCTTGGTGGATTTGACGGAGCGTTGACGGAGGCAAAGTAGTCCTGGTTGATCTGCGAGCCTCTGATAACCTCGGACACGGTGTTGATGGTCTGAAAGAAAGAGACCAGATTATAGACTTGAATGCTTCTCAAAGAGTAGATCCTTCTGAGTGTGCAATACTTCCTGAACATCGCTGGCTTTACCTCGGTGAGGATGTCAGCAGGCACACCAGTGGCCATGAGGATGGTGCACAGCTGCTGCAGCAGACCACACTGGTACATGGACCTCTGGCAGCTGGCAGTGGCTCCAGGAGAGTTCACTGGAGACACCATGACGCGCACCAACTTGAAACAGAGCATTGTGCAACACTTAGGCTTTTTAACAACATCCCATTGTCATGCTTGTTCAAACTGTTATTATTAGGTTAAAGCAACAGTTCAACATGGCTGTTCTGAGTTACCTGCAGCATGAGGTGGAGGTTGGTGACTTTCTGTGCGGACCAACCAGAGTTATCGTCCCCGACCTCAAACCAGGGCTTCATCCTCTGGATGTAGGAGCCCTCCTTGAAGAAGTTTTGATTGGAGCTGTTGTTCTTTAGCAGGTTGAGCAGCAGGAGCAAACAGTCCTCCACCACAATACCTGCAGAGGGGGAAAATGCATGTCCATTATCATATCTAACAAGAAAAGCAAATTAACCTACAACTTTAATCAATATGAAATAAAAGGAGTGGGATTCTTTTTAATCTAAAAGTCCATCTACCTCCATCACTGCTGCCCTCCTCTGTGATGATATCTAGAAGACGTTCAAATGCGTTTTCAAAGGCCACAATTTTTTGAATGGCAGCATTGCTTTTTGTCAGCTGTTGAAGCAGCAATAAGCCCTGTTGGGAAGAAAAAAAAAACAGATTATTGCTCATCACCTAGAAATTTGAAAACCAAAGCATAATATTTTCACTAATTGGTGTGTCATGATAACAAAATCAGCGTGAGCAATGTTCATCCAAAATCAGTTTTGTGTTCAAATATTAAGGGGGTGTGTTGTTTAAAAGGACCGGTAAAACAGGAAAGATAATCCAGGAAGCGCAGTTTAAGAAATAAATATGTGACATTGAAGCATTTCAGTATTTAAAACACTCTATAGCAATTTACTGAACCTTGTGAAATATAGACTCTGTGGTGTGATCACAGTTGCCATTATCTTATCCTTCATCTTATAAATAAGATAAATAGGAACATGGTGTTTATTTCAAAATGAATTCCCCAGAAACATCAACTTGCATGTATGTGTTTGGCCCTTGTTAGATGCTGTTTCGAAACATTGGAGCAAAAGGTGAGCAAGCCATGGACTTTTCTTTTGTCTTTTGCCTCTCTGCTGGGATGATATATTGGCCTCATTCAAATAAACGTGTGGATACTTTTATAACAAACTAACAGATTGAAAAGTAGGTTCTCACATTGGGGGTGCCCGAGTACTCGTTCATTAAATAATAATCAGTTACAAAAAAAATGTAATCGATAATCATTTTGTAGTCCACATTTTTGTAAATGTTTCTTGTTGCATTGTGGGTTCTAGGATAGGAAAAAAACAGAAAAAAAGGAGCACACTCAAACAGAAATAAAACTTAAGGTGCACGAGCGCAAAAAGAAAATAGATTACAAACAAAGCGCTGATAAAGGCTCTGTGCTGAAATGCGCCCCGTTGTTTTTTTTTTTTGTTTTTTTTTTAAGATTTATTTTGGGATTTTCGTGCCTTTAATGCAGAGAGAGGACAGTGGATAGAGTCGGAAACCAGGGAGAGAGAGCGGTGAATGACATGCGGAGGGGGGGCCACGGGTGGAAGCGAGCCCGGGACTACCGCTTGAGACGAGAGTCTCAATACATGGGACGCGCGCCCTAACCATTGCGCCACCAGCGCGCCCCAACGCGCCCGTTGTTGATCTGTACGCTAGCCTAGCCAGATGATTATTCTTTTAATAACGACAAAACGGAACAACCTTATAGGGAGAAATAGCTCATAGCGGACAGATGAGCGAGATTGAGCGAGTGTGTCATTGCGCACAGAGGAGAAAGATGGAACAGACACTTAAATCGTTCACCTGTTCTATTGTAACTTCATTTACCAGAGTAAAGTGTGCTCTACACTGCAGACTGTAGTCTCTGTTAACAGAACGTTGCTGTCAAAACAGCTTCAACATGCGATGAGGGCAAATTGATGTCTGCGCGTCCGCTCGCCACACTCACTGCTCTAATTATAATAAAGTGTTAAAACGGTCATAAGATACGTCTGTGTGAATTCTTATTTGAGGTTTGCTGTCTGTTGAAGTAAGAAATGTCCTAATTTGAACCTTAATACAAAGTAAGCCTATTACTAACAATTATTGAAATCCCGAAGATTCAAATTAATCAATACAGTCGGCATCAAATCATATGTGGGGGCGGGGCCTCCCGTGGCAGACAAGAGTCACAGAAAAAAAAGAACTACAAAATGATTACTCGAGTACTCGCTTTAACAATGGGAAGAGTAATCGATTAAAGAAAATTTTGCATTTCTGCACCCCTAACTCACATCATTGCGAATCACCTCCCTAGAGTCTGCCAACAGGTCCATCAATCTGGAAACACCTGCAGATGTACACATGAATGAAAGGCGCTCATTAATAATGGTGGATTTAAATAAAAAAGAAACACAGCTTAAGCATTGTTGTGTGATTGAAATCGTTAATTGTATCTGCTTTATAGATGCCATCAGTAAATGGATAAAGTCATGTTGATATGAGACTTAAGATTCGAGAACTGAGTGAAATCTTGACCTTTACAGATCAAGTTTATTTAAATTGAGAGAGGGGACACTTACCCATGGGCTGACTA